TATATAATTTATGTAAAAAATTCTCAATTTAATTTATAATTCTGATGACTATTGGATTTCATGAAAAGTTGGTTGGACAGGTTATTGTGTAATTTAGCATAATATTTGTAATAACATTCTTGTTGAAACAAGACTCAAATTACGTACCGTTCAACTTCTCAATGCTAAACAACACCTCTTTAGGAGAAACTTTGGTAAAATTGAATTTATTTTCATCAAACGGTTGGCATATATTTATTATTTGCTCTGGTGTTCGTCTTTTTGTGCCTCTATCTGGATTTAACTAGAAAACATAAGAACAATAATATACAAGTTGAAGATATGTTTCAGAAACGTTACGCAATTTACTGACAAATACCATAGAACATTTTGATTAAATATTCGGGACCCTTTAAACAGTCAAAAGGCAAATAAAGTTGAAAAAATTCAAAATTAACTTTTTGAAGGTTTCTTTATTCCACAGGAAAGCAAATTAAACTTGAAATTCTCATAATACATTTTTTACTATTTATTTGTAATATAAATTCTCCTGAGAAGAACAATTATGAAACTTTAGGAATTTCTCTGTTACTTGTGGATATTTGTTCATATTTACATTCACAAAAAGTAACAAATCAGTATTTCTGTGTAACGTACTCATGAAGATTCTAAAACAAATCCTTACAAGTTAAGAAACAGAGTTGAGTAAGTATTACTAGTAAGTGGGAAGTAACAAATTTTAAGCTTATAAATAATGTGGGTACAAATGGTAAAGGTACAAATAGCAACATTCATAATAAAGTCCGTTTCATCTTTTTCATAAATACAAACCATCTTGAATTTGTGCAGCAGCGTGACAAGGCTTTACTTTTTTGTTATTTTGCTTTCAAGGAAATTTTGTTTCTTTTTTAAGTGGAGAACACATTCCATATTATTATAATGCATTCTGCAAGTGCTGATGCAAATCTGTTAAAGAGTAGTGCAGTTTAAACTGCCAAAAACATATTCTAACTTCCAGGTGGAGAAATAATATTAAAAATAAATAAACATATACATAATATTATTACTCCTTCTCACATACTCTCACCAAAATAATAGTGCAACCTAGTCACCGATTTTCCAAGTGCAAATATGAACAGCACTGTGCAATTCTGTGCAACAGTATTATTAAAAAGCTTTTGAATAATAATAATAAGTGAGACTTAGTATTAATCAGGTAAATAATAATAATAATTTTTATTTGTTTTAAACAAAAATGTACAGACTGTTTACAAAATAATCAATTATAAAATAAGGCTAAGAAAATTTGTACATTGCTATTTATGTAAGCCTCTGCAGCCGAACTAGGGATTAACCTGTAACTCAACTTACAGCGCCTTACCCTATGGATAATATAAACTATAGTCAATTAAAGTTGGTGATCAATCCATACCAGTTACAAAACTGAACAATTTAGAAAATTTGGTGGGTAAAAATAACATTAACATTAAAAACACTGAAGAATTGGCAAAAAATGAACACAAATCTCGTTAAAAAGGTAATAAATGTGTGTGTGCATGTGAGCATATGTGTATTGGTATATGTGAGAGAAAGGGAGTGGATGAATTTGTATATGTAATAATAAATACAACAAAAATTACTACTAATACTATTTCTATTTCGGATATTATACTATTTCATGTTGCCAAATATTTTTGTGGAATAAACGCAATAACACACAGAACTATTTGCGGTTACCGAATCCGAAGTTCGAAGACCGATAAGACAGCGTCATGCCCAGTTTGCCACGTGGATTGATTACTGTTTAGAGTTTGTGATGTTCTCTCGCGACATAGTTAATATGTTGCTACAATACTAATATTTCATATTTTCAAATATTTTAGCGAAATAAAACCGTAATTACTAAAGGTTTTTTACGCAAAATAGGCGCCTCGACGTCGAGTTGCGGACACCAGCCCGTTGCACCAAGTAATAAAGGTTTTATCTAATTTGTTATGGTAAGGTATACACTCTTTGTATTGTGTGACAATGTTTTTCAAATAATAAAAAAAATCCTTAGTACTTGTACCTGAAGCAAATACCTTCCATCTACAATTTTTTCTTGTAAATTTTCTATTTTATATCGGAAAATTCCACTTTCTTTGTGAAGTTTATCCCATCTCATTTTCCAAAGTTCTACGAAACCTGTGCTGTCACTGTCTTTTATAAAACCATCTGGACCGGTAGAATAAATAAATTTATACATTTTGCAGCATTTTTTATAAAAACATATTCTGTTTTCTTGCAATTTGTTACAATTTTTGCAGATTTTGCTTATGTTTACAACAATCATAACCTAAAACGCTTGCTGTCAAAATCGTTGTGACATTACGGGCAACGGAACTTAGTCATACAGCCAATTACTTTGCTTTTGAAACTTTCAAATAGAGAAATTTTTTCTGAAAAATTCTCGAGAAATTGGGAAATTTTAAATTGGAAAAATTGAATTTCCAAGGCTCATATTATGTTCTACGTTTAGAAATATCTTTTGAAGTTTTATTTAGAAAGAAAATAAACGTAAATTATAGTTATAAGCCACTTAATGAAAAACGAGATTTAGGGTCGTATTCCAGAACTCTACTCAATGCTCAAGTAAGGACTTGAGTATGATTCAAAGCACTAGAAATCATACTCAAGTCCTTGCCATTAGGGTCGCATTTCCAGTGCTTGAAATCATACTCAAGTCCTGACTTTTGAGCATTGAGTAGAGTTCTGGAATACGACCCTTAAAATGATTTCACAAAAGGGAAAAAATACCTTTTTGCTCCATCGTTTTCGTTCAGTAACTTTAACTTTTAGCAGGTGTCAATGCCAAATGTATGAAAAATGAAGGAAAAATATTGGAAAATATCCGGAAAAATAGGACAATGGGAAAAATAATTTTATTTTTCTGAAAATAATCCAAAAAAAAGAGATTATTTAAAAATGAAACATTTTCCTATTGGAAATATTACCTATCAATAATCTTATTTATGTGAAAAGATCATTGGGCCGGATTAAATCTGGCAATACTCATTTTGCTAATTTTAGATATTTGTGCACTTTGTAATAAAAGCTTAACTTTATAAAAGAAATATGACCTGTAAACTAGAGGATTTAGAGTATTTAATAGATAACCCTCAATTAACGACGTAAATAATAGGCACTCAAAGAGAATACAAAATTAAATGCCGCTGTATCCTAAGGCTCTTTCAGTGCCTTGATGACACATTTTTCGTTACCATAATATCACAGTTTGTTTACTTCTATTGTTTAATTCATATTATACAACGTTAGTAACGTAGTCCATTTAGTCATAATAAATCAAACCTATCCATGACGCGGACTAACTTTTATGGTCACTATATAGAATTTTATTTTTCCATTTGAAAATAAAATTTGTGTCAATTTCATTCACTTTTTACATTGTTAGGATTAAGAGGACTACTTTCATGATAAAATTGCAAAATTTCCATGATTTTGCAAGATGCCCTAGCCGCATCATATGAATCCATTTGACAAAGAGCTCTAGCTACTATTCTACCTACTTTCCCATGTTTCGTGTTATCTATACCAAAAGCGTCATTTTGTACACCTCTAAATACTTGTAATAGATTTTCAGCAATGTTAACACAGTCTGAATTTGCACTTTTGTCTGAGATTTCTTCATCTGTTGATTGATGGTCTTTTGATGTTGGAAGACTGTCCTAAAAACAGAAAGTTAAGTTTTGCTATTATTCATATTATACTAGAGCCAGAAGATTTTATGACAATGAAAGGTAGATGAAACAACCCAATATATTGAACTGCCTCCGTGACCGAACGGTTACCACTGCCACGCAGAGGTCCTAGATTCGATTCCTGGGCCGGGAGAAATATTTGTATGGCCTACATTTATTTCTCTCGTGAGTGTAACTTTGTGGTTGTCTTAAGTGTGTGTCCATGGCACCCGCGACACAGAGTTTCCCTAGTGCGCGGCTATGTTCAGTGTGTGCATTATTATTATTATATATCTACTGAAATAAGTATGAATGTTTAACGTAACTTAATATAAACAACACACATGTTGGTTACTTCGTACAAGATTATGAGAAGTGATGATAGTTTTGGTCACATTTAATTATGACATGATGTGAATTATGAAACACTGTAGATGATGCTTGTGTGAAATTCATAAAACATTATTAAACTTAGTATTATATTCTGAAGCTCCACCAATTGGCATTATATTAAACAACATAGCTGTCAATCAGTTGTCGAAATAAGGACAGGTTAGATATGTGTTACATGCAGTATTCATTCATTATGCATCAGATCAATCTTTGATACTTCATCTATTCGTTGATCAATGAAATGATTCATTTTTTATTTATTTATCCTTTCAAAGTACCTAAATCCTACATAGAGATAAATTTTCCTCAAGTTTCCTAAAAGTTTATTGCCAGAAGATTATTGATTGTTTGACATTAATGTAGCTGACTACATTCAAGTCATTAATGTAAAAAAAATCTAAACTGAATAAATACGCAAAAGGGGGTGGTGCAAGTGGGGTCTCTTACCTAGCTGCGCGACATAAAGCGCGATACTTCTATTCTCGTGTAGAGATCGTGTCACACTCGCGCAAATCGTGCTAACGCTACAGGTCAGTTTCAGCCACAGATAATATCTAGATATATGTCTCAGGTTTCAGCATAAAAAATTAAGACAACCGTATTGTTTCCATTTGTGTGCATTTGTTGTGTTTGCTTATTAATTAAAGGAAAGAATTGTATGTATGTAAGTATACTTACTCCATTTTCAAGAACATCAAAAAAATTTTGAGAATTGGAGGCATCTGTTTTAACTCTTTTGTTTACTTTTAATAAAAACTGACACGCTTCCCATAAGTGCCAATTTACTTTGTACTCCTGAAAATTCGATTAAAGAATTATTGTGCATAAACTGAAGGGACTGCAAAAGAAAAATTGAGAAGTATCGAAACAAAAACTGCTAAGATACATTTTGAATTTTTCTTCTTATTAGTTGCCAAACGATAGTTCTTGTTCTTTTCATGAATAATTTGAACCTGAACTTCAACCAGTATATTCACTTTGAAAATACGTTTCACATGCACGTATCTGCACACAATATGACAAATCCATTAAATGGAATTAGACGAAATTAGAATTAAAATGTTTTATCAGTTTTAAATTAAAATGATTTATCAGTTTTTCTCTCATCTTCTGTAGCTCTTCAATTATGTTCTTACAGTAAACAAGCAAATACATACTGTAGATGTCATATAGTATCAGTCTATATTCTTGCAAGTAAAGGTAACTTATTTCATTTATATGCAACGATAGCAGCTAAAGATTGGACTCCAATGTTCTATTTAGATTTAGAAAATAGTTTAAATTTCTTTTATGACCGTATTAATACTGTTATAGCCAGCTGTGTGCCGCGGAGAAAACAAAGTGGTACGAATCCGAATTACAACTGCTCCGAATGGTACACTGGGGATATTATTAGGGAAATAAAATATAAAGCTGTCCTCCATAAGCGTTATAAGTCAAATGGTTTAGACGTAGATTATAGAAACTTTGCTAAATGTAGTGCTAGGGTAAAAAGTAAGATAAGTGAAGCACACAAAGAATATCGCCACAGGGTGGAAAATCATTTGATGGTAGACCCCTTGGTATTCTGGAACTATGTTAGATGAAATAGAAATAGTAGGGATCCGCACTATATTCTAAAAAATAACACAGTATTGACAGGTGAACAATGTGTAGTGGAGTTTGCGAGATATTTCCACTCTGTTTATAGTAAAGACCGGCCGGACTTGAATGTACGCGAGACTGTAGTGAGCGCTGCTAGTGCTGCTAATGAGGGAGTCTGTATACATTTGGATCGGCTCTAGCACATCATCTAGATGTGGGGAGAGCTCTGCAGCGGCTTAAGCCTAAAACATCCACGGGGCCAGATGGTATTCCAACCTTCTTTTTTAAAGACTGTCGAGGCGTTTTGGCGGAGCCCTTACTGCATATATATAATCTTTGCCTGGCGTCGGCGGTTTTCGGTGAAAAATGGAAGCTGACGCGAGTAGTACCGGTGCCAAAGTATGGGTCGTCATCTACCGTGAAAGGATACAGACTAGCAGCAATATAGTCGACGCCGGCAAAGGCCGGCTGGAGTCTGCTATCTACAAGGCTTTGTACTCACGGGTAAGCGCGCAGTTGACTGAGTCGCAGCACGGGCTCCGCCCGGCACGAAGTACGACTAGTAACCTACTCAACTATATGGCTGACGTGGTTCCATTTGTGGATAGTGGGGTGCACGTGGACGCAGCTTATTTCGATTTCAAAAAAGCTTTTAATTTAGTCGATAATGACGTGTTGCTACAAAAACTAGCCAGTGTGGGATTCACCTCACACCTGTTGAAGCTCTTTGTCAGCTACATAAGCGACCGTCAGCAGTATGTAGATTACGCTGGGTATGTGTCAGATACATATTACACCAGATCCGGTGTAAGTCAAGGCAGTAATCTTGGGCCTTTGGAATTCCTGCTAGCCATAAACGACTTGCCAAAGCAGGTACAAGATACCAAGTGCTTCTTGTTTGCGGACGATCTGAAAGTGTATCTGGCAGTACAAAATTAGGATGATTGCGAAAAGTTGCAGAGACATCGACAGTGGTAGCTTGGAGCCATGAGAATAGGTTACAATTTAATACCGCCAAATGCGCAGCTATAACTTTCTCTCGCGCGCACAGACCCAGGGTGCACGATTACAAGGTAGAGGGGATAACCATGGCAAGGGTGAATAAGGTGAAGGATTTGGACGTTCATTTAACTGCATCGCTTTCGTTTCGAGATCAAGTGTATAACATCTGCAAGAAAGTGTACCGTAATTTGGGTTTGTCCTGCGCAGATCACGAATGTTAAAGCGATCATAGTTTTATATAATGCTCTGGTGAGAAGCCAGGTCGAGTGCAACGCAATGGTTTGGGCAACACACGAGAAAAAGTATAAGTCATTCTCAAAATTGGTAGGTAGGTATCAGAAAAATGAAAAAAATAAAATATTTCTTTTTTTTTAAATTATGGATGGTAAATATTACGAAAAAATTGGGTTTCGTTAGTTTCGTCAGGCTTAAAGACCTTCAGAAGTAGCTGAAAAGATAAGTTAAAATCACGGTTGTGTCATTACAGACATGGGAGTGACGTGTGTGTGCGTTCAATCGTTTCTAAAAGATGTGTGTAATAAACAAAAGTTGTTTTTATTTTTATATTGGCTACTGAGTCTATCAATCGAAATATGTAGAACAGTAACATTCTGGTTGGTAATTAAATGAGCTAACGCTTTTTTTAAGTGCGCGTAAATTACACACGTCAAATAGGTAGTGAAGGATGTCTATTAAGCTGTCTAGTCTAGTGTGGAATGGTTCTGTTCACCTAAAAGCCTTTTGGCACGCCTTTCTAGTGAATCCAGAGTCGACACTTAGCAGAACCATTCCATAGGTGGCGTGGACTTAGGTATGGACTCGCTGGGGTTTGTGGTGAGCTGCAGAGACGGACATGTTCATCTGCCCCGGTGATGTGTGGCCGGGGCGTCTGTCTCGTACGCAGCTAGCGGGTCTTAGTAGCGATCTAGACGAGGACATAAGTCGAGGAGACGCGCGGGGCACGTGAGTTGCCCTATAAGTCGGAAGCTATCAAAGATGGTCGCAGGACACTACGACTGGCATCTCCGGCACTAGTCTGGAAAGCTAGCTAGTGGAGGATGAGCTAGATATCCTCCGGTCCCTCCAGCTGCTTGTTGGGAACTGGAGAGACGCCGTTTTTCGGCGTCGGGAAGTGAGGGTATCTTACAGCTCCGCCACCAATGAGAAGATTTGGTAGTGGACTGAAGGTTCCTGTGCATGCACAGGTTATAGTGCCCTTCTCGTATACCCTAAGGGTCGGTAGGGAGGGTACCTATATTCAAAGTTAATGGAGAAAGATATGGGGCTGTCCCAGCGTGAAGTATCGCGTCGCCTTTGAAAGGATGCCAAGTTTTATGGCTGCATTTTTGGCCACGGATGCACTGCCGAAGATTTTAAACTTGGTATTTAGAAATGCAAGGCACCACACGCGATAGTAAGGCTCCTGCCTCAAAGCATAGACTTTTATGCCTATAAAATTATAATTGAAAGGCACTTGCACTGGTCAAATGTCATGACCGTGGAAGATTGTCACAACCGTGATGTTTACGAAAACGCGGCTGGGACACCTATGGTTGTGACATTTTTGCGCCATGCCACTCATAATACCCTTAGTCTTTAATTGAATATTGGCTTAATTATAAACATAGTAATCCCGCTATATAAACATACAATTTATGCCAAAATTAACTAGTAAATCGAATATTTACCTTTACAACACAAATCCACCGTTTTGACACGTTATGCTCGACAGTTTTCAAAATAAATGTTTTCGAAATTAATTTTTCGACACCTCAACAAAGTACGTCATCGCGAAAAGCAATCATTTGAGTTGCCACTAGAAGTATATAATTATTGATGTAGCCCGATGTTTAGTTCTAAATTTAGACTTAGGTAGGATTTGTATTTGACCATGGACGTGAAAAAGAAAAAAGTCACAAAAAGTTTTCTGAAAAAGTAAAGCGTTATTTATTTGTTTCTACAGAAATATTGATATTAATTTATTGGGACTACATAACAGTTCATAGATAAGAGGTAAAAATCTGAGTTATGTTTATAATATTTTATTAGTTTAGGTTTAATGTTGCAATTTCGGGAAAGTCACACTACATGGTCATGACATTTCATATAGTTCCGGCCAAACAAAGATATATTATGTATTATATGTATATACTTGTACTATGGCAAAATATACATTGAGTAATTGTTTATCATGTGATTAATTTTTGCTTTTCATTATATTGCAAAAACATGCACTTCTCATTAGGTATCAGTTATTTGCTTGAGAAGATACAGAATAAATTTATAAGATATATGTATTTAAGGCAGTACGGGATATATCCATTCTACCCAAGGATGTACCCGGCATTATTTATATTAGGCATGATAGGTTAGAATAAACTCGAAGACAGGAGAAACGTAGCATTAGTAACATATATTTTTAAATTAGTAAGAGGGAAAAATGAAACCGCGGATTTACTGAGGCACATAAATTTTAGTGTACCAAACAGGTATGTGGAACGAAGGCGACGGCCGCAGCTAGTGGTGGTGCTATGTGCGCGCGCCAACATGTTAAGAGAAACGCCGCTCACACGCGCAACACGGGTCATGACATATTTATGTGTCCTCTGAGTGAATTCGCAAAGGTTGCTTTATTTATCTGTAGTTAAAAGTTAGATAATAATAAGTATATACTTGTAAATATTAATTATATTGTTTATATTGTTTAGGTCATCATATTGGGTAATAGCCTGTAATGATAGTTTAAGTATGGCTTAAAAAAAAAAAAAAAGAAACTCTACACAAAAATACATTTTTTTTAATAATGTTTGTCAGTCATTTATTTTTTTACCCATTCACTAGATATACACCAGATCAGCAATATGAAGAATTAACACATCTATAGATGTAATTATAAGGGCCAACCAACAGCCACAACCTACAACCTACAGTGAGAGTAATTAATTTCCTTCCAATTCATAACTTAATAGGTTTTGTGTCATATAGACTGTTGAGTAATTAACGAGGTTTCTTGACAATAAATCACAATTGGCAAAAATACAAGTCTAATATACTGCCCTCCTTGTCATAATTAACATGTTTGCATATGCAAAATGTTGATTTTGTTTACATTAGTTATTATAAGGAGGGAGGTATAATATTTTTGTACATAGTGCATTTGGCTTCTTCTTTTTGTTTATGGGCCTTTCTTTGGGGTTATTGTAGCCTCTGTGAACGAGTTTTGTAGGAGTAGTATTCGAGCGTAGTTCTATTAAATTTTGAAGAGCTGTTAACTTATCTGAATGGGACATTATACAATATTATTTATGCAAGTGATAGTAGTTTAGAAATGACAAACAGATATCAATTTGCTGTTGATGTTTCGTTTATTAGAGTTATTTAGGATTTCGCCAGGTTATAAAATTTAAGTAAACAAAGATTTTTTGCTATGCGCTTACCTCGCCATCAGGTTTTGCTTGACTAGACTTCAATTTCCTCAAATAATTAGCAAAAGTGGATCTTATATTAGTCCATCGATCTTTAACAGCTTGTCCAGTGAAATCGTTTCCATATTTTGCAGCAAATTCATTGTAAGTTTGGTCTTTAGATTCCGCCGAAGTGTATTTTGGATGTTTTGGGTTCCATATATTAGGGCGACTTTCAATGAACTTCACTAATTTCAAATTCATCTTTCTCGTCCAAAATACTTTCTCTTTAGCGAATTCTGAGATCATTTTCGTAGATTTTTCATAATTATCC